GTCTGGTGAGCAGTGTGTCTTGCTGAGCAAGGGTAGGGGACCCAGAAGAGGCTGCCACCTCCTGCACGGGCTCAGATCCCCCATGCAAAGACCCAAGTCAGGGCAAGGAGGCTGGAAGGTAAGGGAAGATAGTGTACGCATTTCACACCCAGGGGGCCCCATCGTGTGCCCAGCCATTTGCAAGAGCTGGAAAACCTCATGACTTCTGTCCACATTCTGAACTCTAGAAGGGGAACCTGGCTGGTAGGGCTGGCACCTGCTTGATAGTGAGGGTTGGGGACCTAGTGCTGTGTCTCAATCTGCCTTCCTTGGGAAATCAAGACAATCCTACTGTCTTCCTGTGGCTTCTGCTAAATTGGCTAGTGGCAGACAGTGGGCTTTGGAGCTTCCTGTTTCTTCAAGTCTCCATTTAACGCCTCTTACTCTGAGCCCATTGCTCAAGGACTGTTTTCTTAGACATTGCACCTCTCGGCTGTCTCCCATCCCTCACCATCAACATACATAGGAGGCTCAGTGAGCCCAAGAGTTCTGGGACATAGTGTGCTGTGCTGATGGAGTGTCCACACTAAATTTGGTTTTGTTGTTTTGTTTTGTTTTGTTTTGTTTTGTTTTGTTTTTGAGACGGAGTTTTGCTCTTGTTGCCCAGGCTGGAGTGCAATGGTACAATCTTGGCTCACCGCAACCTCCGCCTCCCAGGTTCCAGTGATTCTCCTGCCTCAGCCTCTGGAGTAGCTGGGATTACAGGCATGCGCCACCACGCCCGGCTAATTTTTTGTATTTTTAGTAGAGACAGGGTTTCTCCATGTTGACCAGGCTGGTCTGGAACTCCTGACCTCAGGTGATCCACCCACTTCAGCCTCCCAAAGTGCTGGGATTACAGGCGTGAACCACTGTGCCCGGCCAGCTTTTTTTTTTTTTTTTTTTGAGACAGAGTCTCGCTCTGTCACCCAGGCTGGAATATAGTGGCACAATCTTTGCTTACTGCAACCTCCGCTTCCTGAGTTCAAGTGATTCTCCTGCCTCGGCCTCCTGAGTAGTTGGGACTACAGGCGCACGCCACCATGCCTGGTTAATTTTTGTATTTTTAGTAGAGACAGAGTTTCACCATCTTGCCCAGGCTGGTCTTGAACTCCTGACCTCAAGTGATCTGCCCACCTCAGCCTCCCAAAATGCTGGGATTACAGGCCTGAGCCACCACACCCGGACTACACTAAATTTGGCATGAATATAGGGACTTCCTAGGGGTGGGAAGGAGGGGAAAACTTCCCTGGATCAGAAACAGCGTGGGTCAAAACCTTCACGCTCCTCAGTAGTGGGGTCTTGCCTGTGAACACTCACTGCCCTCGCAACACACTGTGGTCATGGGCTCCACGTAGGTTGGGCAGGGCTCGCCAGGCCAAGGAAGCGGTGTTCCCCGCCTACAGAGAAACACACACTACCTCCTTCCATCTGACAGTCTAACCAGGACCTCTCTGGCGTTCAGTGCAGCAAATGTTCACGAATGCCAGTTCAGAACGAGCACGGCACTCAGCACTGCTGCAAGGGGAAAGACAAGACTGAGGCTGTCTCACTCCTCCAGGGGCTCATCCTGTCACCAGGCACAGAAAATGCTGCCCTCGGAGCCAGTCTGTGCTGCTGTGAAGGGCATAGGCTGGAGGTAGCAGGCCATACTCGTAGGACACACTTAAATACCCGCCCTGCCACGGACAGGCTGGGGCGCTTTCAGCAAACAGTTTGGCCTCCCTACCAGCTTTCTGGGGCTGTCAGGAATGCATGTACGGTGCATGTGAAATGCTTAGCACTGTGCCCAGCACAGAGGAAGTGCTCCATCAATGGCGGTTTTCTTATTATTTTATGAGATGATTAGTATCCAGATAATAACCTCCCACCTACCTGGAAAACTACCTAATGCAGAGCCCAGCCCAGAACTCCTATGAAAGCCCCTTTCTAAAAGGCCTCTGAACTGTTACCAACAGTGAGTTCCGTGTGCAGACAATACAGCTCATGGACTTCCCACATCAGCAAGCTGATGGCGGCAGTGGAAGGCAGAGGCTGCTGACGGTGGTGGGGAGGGAGGGGTCCCCAGAGGCCTGAAGGTGCAGGCTGACATGGTGGGGGGTTTGGGTTGGGAAGGAGGGGGAAGTTGAGGTCGGGGCCAGGTTCACAGGGACCTTGAATCAATCCCCTCTAGCCCCTCATATGGCCGGGGGACCTGCTGTCGGTATTGCAGGGCTGTCGACATGGAAGGACTTGTTCAGGAAGCTGATTCTGGGGCCGGATGCAGGTTACACTGAGGGCCACCCATTGGCAAGGAGGCCTGTCAGGGCCTGTTGGAACCCAGACAGGATTTAATGCCAGGATCCATTCTCGACACAAAATTCCAGACAGGGAAATCACCATGTACCGGGCGAAGCCCCTCTCATATCCTTTTTTTTTTTCAAATACTTTAAGTTCCAGGGAAGATGTACACAACGTGCAGGTGTGTTACATATGTATACATGTGCCATGTCTGTGTGCTGCACCCATTAACTCGTCATTTACATTAGGTATATCTCCTAATGCTATCCCTCCCCCACCTCACCCTATGACAGGCCCCGGTGTGTAATGTTCCCCACCCTGCGTCCAAGTGTTCTCATTGTTCAATTCCCACCTATGAGTGAGAACATGCGGTGTTTGGTTTCCTGTCCTTGCGATAGTTTGCTCAGAATGATGGTTTCCAGCTTCATCCATGTCCCTACAAAGGACACGAACTCATCCCTTTTTATGGCTGCATAGTACTCCATGTGTGTACCCTCTCACATCCTTTAATATCATGTGATCCTCACAGTTGAGTGAAACGGCGATCTCTACTTCACAGGTAAAGAACCATGTCCTTAGAGAAGGGACCCCACACTCTTGCTAGTGGCATGGTGAGGCCAAGAACCCAGGACGCAAGCTTCTGCATCAGTGCCCCCTTTTTCATGGATGGTTTGGGAGTGCTCTTCCTGGCAGGGGCCAGGAAAGTGACTGTTACTGGCTGTCACCCAATGGTATGCAGTGCTGGGCAGTCTTGGGACCGATGCTGGGGTCAAGGACTGAGTGAGCCCCAGGAGGGTGACCCGCACCGGCTCTGGAGTCAGGGAATCTTGCTAGGAGGCCCAGCCCCGTCACCACCAGTGTGGCCTGGGGAGATGTGTAAACCTCTCTGAGCCTCAGTTGCCCTAAAGTGAGGATGACTGTGGTACCTACTGCAAAGTGTATCAGGGAAGAATCCCTGAGAAGACATCTGCAAAGACGGAGGCTCTTTCTGTACTGTGAGCATGGGGGTCGGGGGGCGGGCTTGTCTTACAGTAACTACTGCAGTGCCAGTGCTGGGCACAGGCTTGGTTGTAGCAGGGACTCGATCAATATCATCATAATAAAGTGTTTGCGGCCGGGTGCGGTGGCTCAAGCCTGTAATCCCAGCACTTTGGGAGGCCGAGACGGGCGGATCACAAGGTCAGGAGATCGAGACCATCCTGGCTAACACGGTGAAACCCCATCTCTACTAAAACATACAAAAAAAAAAACCCTAGCCAGGCGAGGTGGTGGGCGCCTGTAGTCCCAGCTACTCGGGAGGCTGAGGCAGGAGAATGGCGGGAACCCAGGAGGCGGAGCTTGCAGTGAGCTGAGATCCAACCACTGCACCCCAGCCTGGGCAACAGAGCAAGATTCTGTCTCAAAAAAAAATAAAAATAAAATAAAATAAAGTGTTTGCATTTATCATGGACACTTACTAAGTGTCAAGCACTGTGCTAACTGCTTAACTAAATGGATGGTTAGGCAGTTGATGAGAAGGGATTGAATTCTAACAGGAGAGGGGACCTGAGGCCATCTCCAGAGACTGAGTAGACACCAGTGGGGAAACTGCACAGACCCCGAGCAAGGGACCTTGCCCGGAGGGAGCTGGGGACAGCTTGCCGGCAAAGCCTTGCCAGCAAACACAGGTTCAGAAGAGCCGGGGTCGATTCTCTGTCCTGCCATCATTTTGCTGCATGACTTTGGCCAAACCTCAGACCTCTCTGGGCCTCTCCTTTTGTTCCTGGAGAAAAGATGGAGGGTGCGAGGGGACTTGGGAGCTGAACTGTAAAGGAGGGAGGCTCCTGCACCTGAGGCCTCCGGGCCTGTTGGGATCTGCCGGCCTGAAGGGGATTTCCTGGGGCCAGCCCCATTCCCAGCCCTGCTGACGTCACCCCTGGATGGGTGCCCAGAGTTGGAGGGGATACCCAGAGCAGTGCTCCACTGGGAAAGGAAGGCGGGCACTCTCCCAGCCCACACACCGGCCCTCCCTCTGGGGCTCTGGGGTCTCCCCAGTCCCATCCCCCAGGTGGGGAAGTGGGGATCCCTCCTGTTGAAAGAAGAAGGCACAGCCCCTTGGCCCAAATCTGGATTTGCTGTGTGACCTCAGGCAAGTCCCTGCCCCTTTCTGGGCCTTGGTTCCCCGTCTCTGCAATGAGGAGAGCAGAGATTCCAAGCTCTTCTGGAACTCTTAACACTCAGGGATCTGGCTGGGCGTTAGGGGATCCGGGAAAGGGAAACGGGGAAGGGGGCTGGATTCCAGGGGCTTGCTTCCCACAATAGCACAGAAGGTGTAGGGGGTGGTGGGAAGTGCCGTGGAGCCCCGAGTCCTCCAAGTGGCTCCATGAAGGGGCAAAGCCAGCCTGAGGTTTTGGAAACGTATTTATTTTTAAGTGTCCTGTGTCGCTGGGGTCTTTTTCTTCGGGTTTTGAAATGCTACAGAAGTTAGTACTCTGATGTGTGTGTTTGTCAAGCAGAATATGGGCTGTATTTATTCATCCTTTACCCCAAGCCCTTAAAAATATAGACGGCTAATGTCTTCAGTATGTATGAAATATCCCATATGCTCGGAAACAAAAGGGGCTCTGTTATTAAAGTTTCATTTCCACACGCCCCCTCCCCTCCCTCCCGCCCGCCCCCCTGACACCCTGCCCTCCTCCCATCCCGCTCAGCCTGCTCAAGACAGAGCGTGAGTGAGGAGCAGGCGGGCAGGCGGCGGGCAGCCGGGCAGCCGTGGACAGAGGCCCGGGCACAGCCAGTTGCTGCGCTGGAGGGTGTGGTGTCCGGCTACAGGTGAGGGGGCGACCAAAGGGAAGGAGAACAGAGCCTTCCAGGGGAGAGGGGGCCTCGGGATCCCTGGGATGGTCAGTGGCGGAGTGGGGGTGGAGGTGGCCCTTCTTGCGGGCGCCTGTGGGGCCAGGGCCCTGGCAGAGCCTGGCTGTCTGGGACGGAAATGCCCGCTCTCCTGTTAACTGAAACCACATGTGTCTCCCAGGCAGCGGGGCAGAGACGCCGCCAAGCCTGGTGCTTGGGGCTGGGGGAGAAAAGATGCAGCTGGCCCCACCATGTGCCCCAGGGTGGGTGAGGGGCTGTGCAGGAGGGCTCGGGGTCATTTGCATCCGTACAAGTGAGAGTGTGTCAGTGTGTGAGTGAATGAGTTCTGTGCATGTGCTTATTGCATGAATGAGCGTGTGTGCACACACGAGAGCCCGTCTGCAGGTCGGTGGGCTGTTCCTGCTTGCAGTGCTGGAGTGGCCTCCTGCGGCCTGAGTACTGGGCACACTCCTACCTGTCACCCAGAGCTTGGGAGCCTGCTGGCTGCCCCCTAGGAGGGCCCTCTGGGGTGAGGGAATTCTCACCTGAGTGGGGGGTGGTTCTCACTGTGCGGAGACTCCCTCGTGACCACCATCCTACTTCGTTCCTTTTCTTCCAGCCCAGCTCAGTCTTCTGGCACCTGTGCAACCTCTGCCCATTTCCCCGGGGGGAAGAGCTGAGAAGTAGAGCAAGGAGGTGATAACAACCTCTGCTCCCACGTCTGTTTTCATCTTTTTCAGATCAGTCACCTCCAGGAGCTCGGCATCGCCACTATAGCCCTGGCAGGTGAGAAAACCTAGCCTGAGTGAGGGACAGCCTCACTCAGTGAGGGTCTTGGTGAGCCATCCAGACTCATCGGGGGCACAGAGGACACTGGGATGTGGGCTCTGCCTTGGTGCAAGTCTGGAGTCTGCATTCTTAGGTTCTGTGGCAAATGGGATTCCCCGAGGGCCTAGGTGACCTGAGTCCTGGATCATCTCTCCTTAAGGAATGAGCCTTACTGGGTGCCAGGCTCTGGGTTCTGGTGGTGGCCCTGCCACTGCCTTGCTATGGATGTTGGACAGGTCTCCTCCTGTCTCCGGGCCTGTTTCCCTATCCCCACAATGGCAGAGTTGGGCCAGGATAGTGTTTTCCAAAGTCTGGTGTGTGCACCTCTGGCAGTCCATGAGACGGTGCCACGTGGATTGCCAGTTTTCAGTGTAACAAGGAGTGCGTGTTGTTTTTACCTGTTAGGGAAAGGTGTCTAAATAGCATGTCAAGTCAGCGGGTAGATGGAAATAAAGGAATAATTGACCCAAAGGAATAAAAGCCGGGCATCAGGAGAAGATTCTTGTGTTCTGTCCATTTTGGCAATGGGCTCTCGTTATGCTTCCAGCACTTTATTTATTTATTTATTTTTATTTGTTTATTTTATTTTTTTAGAGACAGAGTCTCACTCTGTCACCCAGGCTGGAGTCCAGTAGCATGATCATAACTCTTCCAGCTGTTTTTTCTTTTATTTTTTGTAGAGACAGGGTCTCACTATGTTGCTCAGGCTGATCTCAAACTCCTGGCCACAGGCGATCCTTCCCTCATGGCTTCCCAACGCACTGGGATTACAGGCATGAGGCACCATGCGTAGCCGCTTTCATCATTTTAAATGCTCCTAAGAGCACTGGTTTTGACTGTCTAGGGCCTGAAGGTGTGATCTGCTATGTAGACCATCTTTTGGCCCCCACGAACTAGCAACCGCCCTGTAATTCTGTGATTACAGAGTGGAAAGCCCAGTTGCCACCTTAGGGGGCGTGTGTGTGTGTGTGTGTGTGTGTGTGTGTGTGTGTGGTGTATGCTGTGAGTGCTATGTGGGAAGGGGCAGGGGATGGAATGCGCAGAGCTGGGGAAAAGATCAGCTGTCCCGAGTAAAAGCTGAATGCCCGAGGTCACAGGCAAGGAGTTTGGGAAAGAGATTGTCCCCTGACTGACGTTTTCAAGTGCTTTGTCCGGACTCAGCCTTGCTTTGAATCACCAGGATGGGTGGGTAGGCGAGAGGCCACCCTGGCCTTGGCCTTTCCTGCCATTCAGCTCTGGCTCCCAGGCCACTTGGCTGTGTTTTATCTGCCAGTCCAGGACAGGCCAGGGAGAGGTGCACTGGGAGGATGCAAGGGTTTTTTGGGGGGGGGGGCCTTGGCAAAGCTCCCCCGTCAGTTCTCCAGGCGAAGCTGGTCAGAGCTGGCATCTTTCAGGACATACTCCCTCTCCCTCCTCCCTTTCTGCTAGGTTTGCTGTTGCTGTTAGTGTTAGTTGTGACCACAGTTGCTTATATGTGGATATTCACTGGTGATTTGTCTCATCACCAGCTCTTTAGGGAAGCCTGACCCTGCTCTGCTGCAGGAAACGCAACTCTCAGGACCATTCTTTCTTGTCTTGTCCTGCAACAGGCAAAGGGTACCAAGCTTTGACTCCAGGATGTGGACAGCATCCTTGGGTGGGGATGAATTCACAGTCCTTTCTTGGTGAGGTAGAGATGCAGAGGAAGGAGCACAGGGCTGGGTCCACCTGATCCCTGACACTAACATGCAGTGTGACCCTAGGCAAGCTCCTTGCCCTCTCTGGTCCGCCTCTCCTCTGGCCCCAGGAGGCATTGTCCTTGATGAGGCTGAAGTGATTCTCTAGTGCTGCCCTAGGATGAAACAAAATCCTATTTCCAGGGACTCCTGTTCTCATGGAAGGGTGCCTTTCCTAGGGGGAAGAACTCTGTGAGTTTTGGAGTTGGGCTTCCTGGAGATGGGCATATGGAGTCATTCAGAGTCCTTGGGCCTGGATTCCCTTGAATCCTGTTTCAAACCCTGGGGAAGCTGCTGGCTGTGGTCAGGGGCATAGCCTCTGCCTGCAGAACATGCCACATTCTAACTGGCCTTCAGTGGCCTTGTGTGTCCTGCTGAACCACTAGCAGCTATACCCAAGGCCAAGGGCAAACAGAGATCTGCTTCATGCTGTCCTGGCATGGGCATCGTTACAGAGAGATCTGCCTGACCAGGGAGTGGGAGGTGGCACTGCTATGTGGGGAGGATGAGTGCTTAAAGAGCAACTCCGTCCCCAAGAAACATTCTCATTTAAAAGCAAAACTGTTCCCATAACTGTGGTCTGGTTAAGTAAGCCACCCCGGTGGGTTAAGGAATGGGGTGCAGATGGAGGCTGAAGATTCTAGAACTTCTTCACTGACAGTGATGCTCTGGGCTCTTGACTTCCTTAGATTTTACTTTGATTTCTTTTTCCTAGGTTTGGTAGGGGCAGTGTGTGGAAGTGGCAACAAAGCAGTTTATCTACAGAGTCACATCCAGATCTATTTGTGGCAATGTTAACTTTAGGCAAGGGAAAACTGAAGTTAGCTGCTGGGTGAGGCAAAAAGAAAAAGAGAAGCTAGGTGACCCCGTGTTCTGCTCCTGTAGCAGCTGCGGGAGCTTGCCAGGCGACTACGTCTCAACTCCACCTTCCTGACCTGCAAAATGGGTTGTTGTGCAAATTCACGGGGTGGCGGCACAGAAGCCCTGGCACACACTGCAGTTGGCACTGAACAAATTGTAGCTCAAAGGCATCAAGCCTGCTGATAACTCTGCTGGCTTAAGGAGGGGGTATGATTGACATTTTACAGAAGGGGGAACACAGCCGCAAGTGGTGTGCGCCAAGATGAGGGAAGAGCACCAACTCTTTCCCAGGCCTGGGTTCCAGTCCCATCCCCACCCCCACTGGCTCTGTAACTTCCAGCAGGTTACTCATCCCACCAAGTCTTAGGTTCCACATCTGTAAAGTGGGCAGGAATAACACCTACCTCACAAGGCAGTTATGTGGATTAAATGAGCCAACCCTAAGCTCCTGGCACATGGTAGGTGCTCAATGAACACCCCTCTAGCTGAATGGAAACCCAGAGGCCTTTGCTCCTCAAATTGCTCCCCTCTGATAGTCCCAAGTTGGGGCCACAGCCTTTGTGAGTAGTGAGGTTAGATGGCCAGAGGCCCTGGCTCTCCCTGAGGCTGGTCTCAAATCTTGCCATAAACACTACCAAAAGCACTTCTTGGAACGTTTTGCCCGAGTCTCCCAGGTTGGCAGGTGGTCAGGACTAGCGCTCTTCCTTGTCACTGACAGCAGGAATGGTGTGATGGTTCATGCCTAAAGGATATTTAAAGAGATGAGGAAACTCAGAAAACTGAGGCTTAGACAGGGAAGGGGCCTCTGTGGGATCAACGTGGCAACAAGGCAGGGATGGAGGGGTGGAGGCAAGAAGGTAGAAAACCTTATGGGGAGAGGGGAAGGGGAGGCCCTTGGTACCTACCCGGACAGGGCCTCCTTCCCAGCTTCACTGGAGCAGGAATGGGTTAAAGGGGACCGGAAAGGAGAGGAAGAAAGCAAACAGAGTCAGGAGAAAAGCCTGGAGCTGCAAGCTCGCTGGGGTTGTTTGGTCTGGCTGAACCACCTCCTGGGCCACTCCCAGCAGCTCTGCAGACAGACTCCAACCACCCCCACCACATGCACGCGCGCGCACACACACACACACACACACACAAACATGCACACACTGACAGATAAGCACACACTGATACACAGAGACACATGCAGACACATACATAAATACAGGCACAAACACATGACTAAACAGTCACACAGACACACAAATACACACAGATAGATATACATAGACACACACACACAGACACACACAGATTCATACATACATACCCAGAGACACATATACATCACCCTTACACACAGTTACATAGATACACACAAAGAAACAATTACACAGATTACACACAGACACGTATATACAAAATGTCACATAGAAACAAGTATAGACACACAGACACAGATACACGCCCAGACATATACACATGCACACAAACATACACGCATGTGGATATCATGCAGATATCATGCAGATATCCACATAAACACAAGATTCACATACAAATATACACAGTGAATACATAAACACACAGACAGAC